TGATTTGCTTGGGGAATCCCCTGGTGGTAGAATAGGAATTCATCCCTGGTGCATGAGGGGGCTTTTTGGAGCCCACTACCTATGATGGGACACCTCGTGCAGCCTTGAGGCAGGGGGAAGGGCTTGGACTTGCCTCTACTGGATGTGCCTCCCCATGAGAGGCCTTACCTTCTTGTGGGGTGGAGTGGGAGGTGGGTTGGGGGAGAGGCTGGGGGTGGGAGGAGGGAAGAGGGGGATCTTTGATTGGTGTATAAAATGAATAAAAAAATTTTAATTAAAAAAAAAGAAAAGCCTACTCATGCAATGAGCACAGGACCCAGTCCCACTGCCTGGATGCCTCCCGGGTCCTGTGCTCATTGCATGAGTAGGCTGTTTGAAACGTGGGGCCTATGCAAGATCGCTTGGCTCGGTCTGGGAGGAGGGGACTGGACCTACCTGCACTGAGTCTACCAGGTTGATCTCTGTCTATGGGGAAGGCTTTGCCCTGGAGGAGATGGGAATGGGGGCGGGCTGGGGGGAAGGTGAGGGAGCGGGAGGGGGGAGAACAAGGGAATCTGTGGCTGATATGTAGAACTGAATTGTATTGCAAAATAAAAATAAAAAATAAATAAATAAATAAATAAATAAATAAATAAATAAATAAATAAATAAAAAGAAAACTTTAGTGAGGAAACCCTGATGGGGGTAAGTAGTCAATCAAATACTATCAAAATACTGCTTTGGTGTAGACAGCCTTTGAGCTCAGACTGAAACCAAAGTACATTTCAAAGTTAATATTCTTACATCCACCAAGGTCTTTGGAGTTTGGGGTTTGTTTTTCAAAGGGAACTCTGAACCTCAATCTAACACTTTTTGTAAGGAAGAAAACGAACCAAATTTTAAAGATTACATGGGATCTGCTGCATGTTTAACTCGCATTGTCACTGATAATAAGAACACTGGTTACAACAGCAACGGGATCCAATTGGAGCCAAGAAAGACTCAAGCCATACTGAGTGACAACGTGGGGGGCACATGTGAGCCCCAGATGCTGAGAAAAGACAATGGGACAGCCACACTGAACCCCAACATGGAAGGGGGAGGAGAGTAAAAGACCAGAGGACATTTTTGAGGGGGGAAAAGCTGGGATCTCACATTGTTTGCTGAGGGATATGTGATGTGAGCCTCCTCCACAAAAGATGGGGTCAACTCTACCCCACTCTCTGAGGCTAATGTGTGAGTGTCTCTTTGAAGGAGCTTTAACAGTTCTCTGTGCTGAATTCTACCAGTTTTTCTATTGAATAGGGAGGGAACACTACCAAAATAATCCTATGGTGCCATTATAACTCAAGGAGGGAATATTACCAAACCTGTCCTATGACATCATTATAACTCAGTGAGGGAATACTACCAAACCCATCCCATGACATCATTATAACTCAGGGAGGGAACACTATCAAACTCATCCTAGAATGCCATTATAACTCTGACGCCAAACCCAGACAAAGAAAGAAAACTATAGACCAATCTCCCTGATGGACATGATCTTCAACAAAATGCTTTCTAACTGAATTCAAAGTCACATTAAGAGGATTGTTTATCATAAGCAAGATGATTTCACCCCAAGGATACAAGATAGGTTCAATATACCAAATCAATAAACATGATATGCCACATTAACAGACTTATTTAGTTCAGGAGGCAGAGGCAGGCAGATCTCTATGAGTCTGAGACCAGCCTGGTCTACAGGGTGAGTGCCAGGACAGCCAGGGCTACACGGAGAAACCCTGTCTCAAAAAAACAGGTTCTGATTAAACCAGGAGTAGGCAGAAGACAGCTCAGTGTAATAAATACTGCAAATGAAAAGCCTATAACCAGCATTATACCAAGTCCTTTAAAATCTGGTACAAGACAAGGGTGCTCCTTCTCTCCAGTCTTACTCAATGCAGTGCTCACAGTGGGAAAGAACGGTAAGTCGAGAGAAAATACAAATGGAGTAAAAACTGAGAAAGGATCAGTTAAACTACCCTATCTGAAGACAGCATAATTCTATACTTAAAAGACTCAAATGAACTCCACCAAGAAAAAAAAAACTCTTGAAGCTGATAAAGAGTTTCAGTAAAGTAGCAGTAGCAAGATACAAAATATATAATAATCAACAGTTTTTATATGCACTAACAACAAACTTCCTGAAAAAGAAATCAGGAAAAATATCCATTCACAAAAACTTCAAAAATATGCAGGGATAAACCTAAGCAAGAAGGTAAACTTTAAGACTCTAAAAAAGGCACCAGACAATGGAAAGACTCCCGTGCTCCTGGATGTTCAGAATTCATATTGGGAACATGACTATCCCACCAAAAGTAATCTACTTATTCAATGCAATCTCTACCAATATCCCAATGACATTTTTTCAGAGAGGTAGGAAAAAGTCTAAATTCCATATAGAAAGACAAAAGACCACATATAGCCAAAGCAATTCTAAGCAGAAAGAACACAGCCAGAGGCACCATATTACCTGACCTCAAACTGCTCTACAGATCCATAGTGATAAAGACAGCGTGGTATTAGCAGCATGAAGACAGTTCTATAAACTAATGGAACATGTTAAAAGACCCATAGATAACCCACACAGCTGTGACCACTTAATTTTTGACAAAGGAGTCAAAAACATTCACTGGAAAAAAAGACAGCCTTTCAACAAACAATGTTAGCAAAACTGGATATCCACCTGAAGAATGAAAACAGAACCAAATTTTTCATCATGCACAAAAACAATCTTTTCAAATTGGATCAAAGACTTTAATTTAAAACCTAGAACACTAAAACTGCCAAAATAAAACACAGAGAAAACATTTCAGAACATAGGTGCAAACAACAAATTTCTGAATAGGATCCCAATAGCACAGGAAACAGGCCCAAGAACTGGCAAATAGTAATACATGAAATTAAAAAGCATCTGTAAAACAAAAGGAATTGCCAACAGAACAAACAGAAAGCCTGCAGAATAAGGGAAAATCTTTGTGAGCTATGCCTCAGACAAAGGGTTAATATTTAGAGTATATATAAATAATTGCATAAATTAAATGCCTAACAAAAACCTGCCAATCAATCAATGGGCCAATGATCTGAGGAAACGCATTTTAAGGAAGAATGCAAACAGCTAGGAAACTCTCCAGCCATTGAAATATAGCAAATTAAAACTATTTTGAAGCCGGGCGGTGGTGGCGCACGCCTTTAATCCCAGCACTCGGGAGGCAGAGCCAGGCGGATCTCTGTGAGTTCGAGGCCAGCCTGGTCTCCAAAGCGAGTTCCAGGAAAGGCGCAAAGCTACACAGAGAAACCCTGTCTCGAAAAACCAAAAAAAAAAAAAAAAAACTATTTTAAGATTACATCTCACACTAGTCTGAATGGCCATCATCGAGAAAATAAATGACAACAAATGCTGGTGAGAACGTAGGTTTAGAGACCCCTTACTCACAGTCGGCGGGAGTGTAAACTAGTACAGTCACTGTGGAAACCATGTGGTGGCTTTGCAAAAGACTTAAAGCGGAGCTCCAACAGAATGTAATTGTCATATTCAGGCATATACCCAAGGTCTCTATGTGCTGCCACAGAAATACCTGCACATCCATGCTTATTATTGCTATTTTCACAATAGCTAGGAAATGGAATCAGCCTAGATGTCCATCAACAGACCAATGAATCATGACAGTGTGTTAAGTATACACAACAGAATTCCATTTAACCCAGGAGAAACATAGAATTGTGTAATTTGCAGGGAAATGGTTGAAACTGTTTTTTATTTATTTATTTTATTCTGTGTGTGGGTGTTTTACCCACATAGTCTGTACACATATGTGTGTAACTAGTACATGCAGAGGGCATTGGATCCCTTAGAACTGGAGTTACAGACAGTTGTGAGACATCATGTGGGTGCTGGGAATTGAACCAAATCTTCTGTAACAACAAGGGCTCTTAACTACTGAGCCATCTCTCCAGCCCTGAAATAGCCTTTTTTCATAATTATTTTATTATATTAATTATGTGGGTGTGCACATGAGTGTAGGTGTCCTCGGAGGTCAGAAGTCAGATATATTTGATCCCCCTAGAGCTAAAGTTATAGGCAATTGTGAGTGGCCAGTTACAAGTTCTGGGAACCAAACTCTTGTCTTCTGGAAGAACAGCAAATGTTCTTACCCACTGAGCCATCTCTCAGTGGGACATTCTATTAAGCCAAGTGACCCAGGCTCAATGGTTAAGACAAATCTGTATATTCTCTCTCATAGGTTGACCCTAGCCTGTAACTGTTAACTATGAGTATCTAAATGGGAATAAATTCCAGCAGAGCCCACAACACTAGAAAGGAACCCACGAGCCTGGAAAGACAGCAGTTTTAAAGGAGGGAGTGGGAAGACAATGGGAGAGCTGGAGTAGGAAAATGCTGGGGGCGGAAGTGTGCAGCAGGAAAGGAGGGCAGGGAAGATGGAGAATCAAACAAATGAAACATGTCTGGGAAAAAGAAACCTACTACCATATAAGCTAATAAGGAAATTCGTTAAATATTCAAAAGATGAAAAGAAGTCCGTACAAAAATAAGTAAAATAAAAAGAAAGATTGGAAGGGAGCTTGAAGCTTTCCCTCTAAACGTTGTAGAGCTTTCACTGTTGTTTGGGTATCTACACGCATGTTTGAAATCACTACTGATGTCAGTACTGTTTCTAAAGATGGTATTTATTAATACATGAAATTAAATACAAGGAAAACTCAGGTGATTGTAGATAATGTGTTCTAAATTCCTCTGTGGGGAGTGTATAAAGTCCTGCGACCTCTGCCTACTTGGAAATACAATATCAAAGATATGTCTGTGTTCCACAAAATAAACTCCCAAAGAATCAATTTCTAACCAATTAAAGAAGGACAGAAATACACACTTAATTAAGTAGGAAGCCACCAATCATTAAGAGCAGTCTGGGAGCCCCCAGAAATCTTAATAAAAGCCCAAAGAATGAATGTCTTACTTGCTATCAATGAGCACTTCAGACTGTCGGTTATTCACTTGGTTATCACTCTTGTGACGAAACTAAAAAAAAAAAAAATTAGGAAAGAACATCTTAAGTCATCATTGATCCTAACAGCAACATGGGGCATACTCTGAGTTCGTCTGTTTGGACCATGTGGCTGTCCATCCAATGTGAATGCAGTTTGCACTTACTTTGAGCAGAGTCTGTGCACAGCTAGTCAACACTCATCTCCCAAATCTCATCCTGGTAGACATGTCACTGTGGAAATCCTGTGTGTGTGTGTGTGTGTGTGTGTGTGTGTGTGTGTGTGTGTGTGCACTCATATGCACATGCTGTATGCTAGACATAACTCTTAATCCTTACACATTTCTAGTTGCTTCTAAGGAGGCAACATGCCATTTACCTCATAGTCCAGAGACAACCATACACAGGTTTTGAGAACGTCAACCCAGAACCAATTTCCATTTCTCTCACATGCACACGGTCCTCTCAGCATATTAGTGCACACCCACAGATGAACAGGAGTACTTTCAGGGACATGAAGCTTTTATTTCATAAACTATAATAACAGTGAGCACTTTTCCTTTTGTATTTCAAAATGATCTGTGTGTGTACATACACATATACACACATACACACACATTATACTGCTGTCAGGCCTTCTCTTTTTCAACCTCAGATGTTATAGCATCAATGTGTACATTGAAATATGCTAGACACTTCATTAGGAGACAGAAACATGCCACATGAAGTCAAGTGTGTTATCCATGTGTGTGTGGGCAATTGTAAGTTACTGATATCAATTGTAAATTTATTTAATATTCTACATGCAATTGTGAAGAAACATCACATACATCAACTTGGTAATTAAAGATCTTCCCCTCTGCCTCATGCTTGACCACCCTTCAGCAGCACTGGCTACATTCTCACTTCCTATTTAAAATTGAGACATCAAGCATTCTCAGGAGCAAATACCCACATAGTCGTCAGTAGCATCCTTGACAGCTGTCATGGAGATCACCAGGACCAGAGGCACGATGGTGGTGAACCACGTCAGGGAAGAGATTTCTGGAATGAGCTGAAACAAGCATTTCCAGTAGTTTAAGACTTTTTCAATTAAGAAATACATCTCTCAATCTTTGTCAATTAACTGTATAACACTTGCAGAAGTAAATTGGGTTATGTTCAGCTATTTGTACAAAAGTAAACTTGCTAAAATGGTTTAATTATATGCATTCAACTACAAAACATACAGAGAAATACCTTTCTGTCAATTTTCAGACTACCTGGCAAAAATAAAATAAAATAAAATAAAATAAAATAAAAACTTAAAGCAAACTGGGAAGCGGGCTCCTTGAGTCCCTTCACACATCTTTCAGTAGATTGTCACATGTCACGGATCCCTCAGCCTCTCTTCTCAGTCATTAATAAGTTACCAACCCCTCTTAACAGCACCTGTCAGAGAGCCTTTGATCCTCAGTCTTGCAAAGGCTAACCAGGTATTTCCATCTTAATAATTGGATGCTCTGAAAACGGAGTTAGTTTCTATGCTGGAATGTTTTGTATAAACCCATGGGTTCCATATCCGCATGAATAACACTCCCCCTACGGTGCACACCAGAATACATTGTGAATGGTGATCCTGTGTCAGAAAAGCCTGCAGAGCTGACATCATGTCCTTGTTTTCCTGTTCCAATTCTACAACTGAAGTATCCACGGTATTGAAAACACTAGCAGAAACACACACTGCTAAAGTATGTACCTAGGCTTCTTTGGCTCCCACACTATCCGTTTGGGCTGTGCTACTATCTACAGCAAATGCAGTAACAAGCATGTGACCCTCTTAGACAAGTGCTTTTTTGTTTTTTCAGATCAAGTCACATTCACTTGGGATCTGCTCCAGAGCCATCAGGCAGGGTAGGGTCCAGTAGAAACTGTCAGGGGTTGGAGATCAAGTCCCAAAAATAACTCAAAACCAAGCCAATTTTACATAATCGATTCTGTGCAATTTTTAAACCTCAAAAAATCCCTGAGGGTTAAGTAATAGACACAAGCTCTGGTGTCCTACTACAACACACTAGGTGACTGTTGGACATATAAGCAACCAGAAGATAGGAATTTAAGGGGCTGGAGAGGTGGCCCAGCGGTTAAGAGCACTGGCTGCTCTTCCAGAGGTCCTGAGTTCAATTCCCAGCAACCACATGGCAGCCCACAACTGTCTGTAACTCTAGTTCCAGAGGATCCAACACCCTCACACAAACATACATGCAGGCAAAACACCAATGCACATAAAATAGATAAATTAATTTTTTAAAAAAAGATAGGTCAAGGGTTCTCAATACAAAGAACTGAACAATGCCTGAGGATATTAAAAAGCTAATTACCCTGACTTGATCATTGCACATTGTGTGCATAATATGAGTTCTCCCACTATACCCATATTACATGCTAATTACATTTTACATGCTAATTCAAATTAAAAATAACTTTAAGAGACACAATAAGAAAACAAAAGCAAAAGATCCCTGAAGATGCAGCAGAAACATTCGGTGGGTAGCAGAAAATCCTACTATTTCTCCCTCTTGTTAATCTGTGGCTTCACACATCATCTCACCTCCATGGCTCTCAGATGTTCACCAAGAAATAATATTGAACTAAGCCCTCTCAAATGTCCCAAGTATAAAATTGCGTGAACAAAAGCCTGAGACTGTAAGTAAGAATGCCATTAGAGAAAAAAATTCAAAATTCTGGAATGGTGTAAAAGGTCACATCAAGAATCCGAAAGCAAGTCCATGACACTGTGGGGAGGCGAGACCTTGGGTCTACATGTCCTTTCATGAATGGCAGGTGAGACCTTGGGTCTACACTTCCTTTCATGAATGGCAGCGAGACCTTGGGTCTGCACTTCCTTTCATGAATGGCTGGTTGTTCATCAGGTTCTTCTGGTTGGTTGTTTTATCTGGTCTGGTTTTTTGCTATTGTTTTGGTTTTGGTTTTGGTTTTGGTTTGAGATTTTTGTTTGTTTTTGTTATTTTGTTTTGTTTTGTGTTTTGTTGTTTTGGGGTTTTTTGTTGTTTGTTTGTTTGTTTTGCACAATCAGTATCCAGTTACTCCCAACTATATCTTTTTTTTCTTAGGGAAATTTCCAAACTTCTAATTTCAGTTCTTTTACTTTTAGTAAACTGACTCATTCTGACACAGGTTTTGACACATGCTCAAGACAATAACTGTAAAAATTCTTGAGCAATGATGATTGGCTTAGGAGACAGATGCGATCAGAACTAATACCAACAGAAAAAAAATGAGGAAAGTGATATTCTCTCTCTCTCTCTCTCTCTCTCTCTCTCTCTCTCTCTCTCTCTCTCTCTCTCTCTCTCTCTTCTTCCTTCACAGGAGTTGGAAAGCTTGGAAGATAAGTGGTGAAGCTGGAAGGACCTGACAATATGTAAGAAAACAGAGAAATCGAAGCCTTGTCCTACTGCAGTGGTTACTGTCTGTGAATCCAGTCACACATGAAAAGAGATGATACATCTTGGAATATATTCATCCAGTCACACATGAAAAGAGATGATACATCTTGGAATATATTCATCCAGTCACACATGAAAAGAGATGATACATCTTGGAATATATTCATCCAGTCACACATGAAAAGAGATACATCTTGGAATATATTCATCCAGTCACACATGAAAAGAGATACATCTTGGAATATATTCATCCAGTCACACATGAAAAGAGATACATCTTGGAATATATTCATCCAGTCACACATGAAAAGAGATACATCTTGGAATATATTCATCCAGTCACACATGAAAAGAGATACATCTTGGAATATGTTCATCCAGTCACACATGAAAAGAGATACATCTTGGAATATATTCATCCAGTCACACATGAAAAGAGATGATACATCTTGGAATATATTCATCCAGTCACACATGAAAAGAGATACATCTTGGAATATATTCATCCAGTCACACATGAAAAGAGATACATCTTGGAATATGTTCATCCAGTCACACATGAAAAGAGATACATCTTGGAATATGTTCATCCAGTCACACATGAAAAGAGATACATCTTGGAATATATTCATCCAGTCACACATGAAAAGAGATACATCTTGGAATATATTCATCCAGTCACACATGAAAAGAGATACATCTTGGAATATATTCATCCAGTCACACATGAAAAGGGATACATCTTGGAATATATTCATCCAGTCACACATGAAAAGGGATACATCTTGGAATATATTCATCCAGTCACACATGAAAAGAGATACATCTTGGAATATATTCATCCAGTCACACATGAAAAGAGATACATCTTGGAATATATTCATCCAGTCACACATGAAAAGAGATACATCTTGGAATATATTCATCCAGTCACACATGAAAAGAGATACATCTTGGAATATATTCATCCAGTCACACATGAAAAGAGATACATCTTGGAATATATTCATCCAGTCACACATGAAAAGAGATACATCTTGGAATATATTCATCCAGTCACACATGAAAAGAGATACATCTTGGAATATATTCATCCAGTCACACATGAAAAGAGATACATCTTGGAATATATTCATCCAGTCACACATGAAAAGAGATACATCTTGGAATATATTCATCCAGTCACACATGAAAAGAGATACATCTTGGAATATATTCATCCAGTCACACATGAAAAGAGATACATCTTGGAATATATTCATCCAGTCACACATGAAAAGAGATACATCTTGGAATATACTCATCGTCTGCTGAAGCTAAAATAGATCTCTGGCACTTACAATCAAAAGATTAACACACATAGCTTTTCAGCTCACTGTTGTATTCAACACTCTTCATCTAGATCTCCTGTAGCCAAGCCATCCTTATAGCTCTTTTAAATAGCCCACCGTCTCACCTGGAACTACCAATCTGATCTAATTAAACCATCCAAAACTAAAATTAAGTAAGTCACTGGCTGATATGAACTATTGATGTGTGTATGAATCTTTCTTAATATATGCCTTTTTCCTTCCTGAAATACCAATACAAGTTGACATTTCACTTAAGCTCAATTTTAGTTAAAAGGGGGAAGATTATTAATGACTAACTAACCACTCAAAAATATAAAAATAGTCACCCTACAGTGAAATAACATATATTGACATCATGTATTTTATGAATGCGCACAATATGCCATTGTTCTTGGATTAAAGGGAAATTTGCCAAGTTCCACAACCTTTATAGTCTTAGGAGCCCGCACCCTGTCAGTGTAGGATAATTAATAAGGAAAGGAAGAGGCCATGAGTAGCAATTATTAGACTTCTATATGGTTCAAATAAAAGTACATATTACAATGACCTAGGTGTTTAAGATAAATGTACTATTTTTGTTTTATCTGTTCTTGGCCCTCTCATTTTTAAGAAAAAAAAGCAGTAATAACATTAAAAATCTAATAAGAGTGGTCCTATGCAATCATGAATGTTTACTAAGTAAATTAACTTATGTTTTAGAATTATATAAGTACTTTCAACAAATAGATAATGAAGAAATATGGCTTAAAGATTACCTGTAGTATCAGGAGGAAAAGGAAATAGGCATTTGCCACTCTTTGGAACTGCTCAAATAAATTAATTGGCAAGAATGTGAGAATGTTGTATTTGGATGTGTGGATACGATTGTCCTGAAAAAGAGACAGCATCGTGTTAGTTTGGATCAAGGCATTGCCCATTATAACTCTTAAACGTACAAACCCTAGCACAGGTTATACCACAGCAAAAAGAGCAGTTAGTTATCTAAGAAGTCCTAAGCTCCATGTAGCCAAGACCTTCACATATCCCAAGATAGCATTGTCCTAATTCTAGGCAAAATGACTGAGTGTCATATCACCCATGTAGTCATGGGTTATCACACACAAGTTGGCTTCTGAGTTTTTTGTCCTCCTATGCTCTCTTTGGTAGATATTGCAGGAGCACCCACTGTCTTGCTTGGGTATCCCTGAGCTCATGCTGGGGTACACAGACTTAAGGCATTTGGATGATGATCAATTTCTGTCTCCCTAAAGTACGACCCCTTTTGGAAATTGACAAGAGACTTCTTTTTTTTAACTTTTTAAAACTTTATTGTGTCTTTCACATTATGCATCTCCATCCCATTTACCTCCCTATCCCTTCACATCTACCCTCTGCTCTTGCAACCTGCCCTCCAAAAGAAAAGAAAAGAAAAATTAAGAGAAAAAAGAAAAATCTCGTCATGGAAGCTGTAGTGTGACACAGTGAGTCACACAGTGAACCCCTTTATCCATATGTCTTTACTGGCAAGGGTTCCTAGGAAAGAGTCATTGGTCTGCTTTGAGGCCTCGGGCTTCTGCTACACCATCGACGCCGGGACCTCACTAGGACTCCTCTTGGATATCCTATTGTTGCCCTGTGTTGTGGAGATCCTGCAGCTTTGCATCTGCAGGACCTGCCCCTTCAAATGCTCCAGCAGATCATAGATGGGATGGATGCTCTGTTTCTGGGCCTGGGTAGTTGCAGATTGGTCAGCCCACCAGCTCTCCCCTATTCTCACCACCAGGGGGAGCGCTCCAGCACTGTCCCTGCAAGTTCACCCATATAGCCACAAGCAAAGTGTGAGACAAGTTCTCTGGCTTTCATGCCCTCAGGGCCGGCTCACCCACACCTATACTACCAGGCCAGCTCTAAGATGCTGCCCTGGCAAAGTGCAGGGGCCACTCTCCGGAGCGCAGCAGTTGATGAGGGTCAGGGCCAGCTCTCCCAAATGCCACAGGCAGTGAAGGGTTGGGGGAGCCTCTCACCCTTGCCCATGCCACCATATGGCAGATGAGGGGTGGGGACAGCTCTCCTACACTCGTGTTCTCAGGGCCAGCTCACCCATGCCCCTGTCTACAGGGTCAGCTCTACTGTGCTGCCCAGACAAGGTACAGGGCCTTTCCTGAGTGCTGCAGCTGGTAAGGGAGAAGGTTAGCTCCCTCACCTGTCACAGGTTGCAGAGGGTGGGGGAAGATAAGGGATTTCTTTTTCTGGAGATCTTCTGGGAAGCTTACAAGGTAGCCTGTCCTTAGTTCAGAACAGAATTACTGGAAACAATCTTTATTACAAAGAAAGGAAAAAATGTAAATTTGCCTCACTGTAATCTCTTGCTCTATGTCAAGGCATGGGCCTCTGGTCACTAACCAAGTCTAAGGCCTTTCCTGGTGGTAGTATTCCAATATTTGAATGCTTCTCATAGAACACACCACACCTTCTGTCCCTGATTCACATTCCCAAATCCTACAGCTTCTCTATGACCTTTTATAGCTCTTCCTTCCTGGCCATCCTCTTCAGAATCTATCCCGACTTCTGTTAAGACACAGTGCCTACATCCAAATACAAAATATGGCTCAATTGTTGTCCTGTGTTCTACATTTGTATATTAACGTGCCCTAACACTCCATTAGCATTTTGGAAACTGCATCTCACTGTGTTTCCATATTGAGTTTTAATCACCTGAAATGGCCTAATGGTCATTAGAAACTTCTATTAAAGGTGAGTGTTGCATATTCTCACTCATCTGCATTTCCTGGCTCCAGATCTTTAGATGTGAGTATAACCCACAGTAACCATAGAAATGGGGAAAGAAACTACAGAAGCTACTATTAAATCAGTTGTCTTTCCTAAGCATTTACTTTTAATATAAATATGAAAAAAGCTTTCCTGTGTCCATAAACTATTATTTTAACTTACGTGCATTACCAAAATCATTAAATATTCCTTCCAACTTTGTGCTATCAGGAAGTTTCAAATACATGTGTTTTATGTATTTTTATAAAGCTAAAGACAAATACATTTAAAAGGGGCAAGTCTACAGGAAAAGAAATTATTACTGAAACAATAAAGCTTGGGACATAACCAATGGGCTTTCTACAGATTGATAAAGCTTTGTTCAGTCATTATATGAAATACAGGGGGCTGGGGAGAAACTCAGTAAAGTGTTTGCCTTGCCACACAAGGATCTTACTTCCATCCTCAGAACACAGGTCTAAAAATGGGGGCAGGGTAGTGTCACCTTAATCTCAGCATCGAGGAGGCAGAAACAGGCAGGTGCATGGGGCTTACTGGACAGCCAGCCTAAGCCTACTTGTCAAGTTACAGGACAATGAGAGTCCCTGTCTCAAAAACAACTGACTGAAGGTGGATAGCACACATGTTCACATGGACACACATACTGTATACACTATACATTGAATATGTTTTATTCATCTCTGTATGAGTCTTTGAAAATACATTAAAATTTTATTTAAGCACTTATAAATCCATTTATCTATATTCCCATGAAGTTTGACTCTATCTTGCCCACAAAGATAGCATAGTAAGATTGAAATAAGACATGATGAAATACATAATTAATATATCAAAGATAAGGGATGCTTTTATTGACCTCCCTCCCCACTCCCCATTCAAAGACCCCCCTGCTTTCTCCCCTTCATATAATCTCTATCCGGCTAGTCTCCTCTTAGTGCCCCTCCCCCTTCCTCCCATGGCCTCTTTACTTTCCCCGTTTCTGTGGTTACCGCAGGTTATACTCACATCTAAAGATTGGAGCCGGGAAATGCAGGGGAGAGAGAATATGCAGCACTTATCTTTCTGGATCTGGGTTACCTCACTCAATATATTATTTTCAAGTTCCATCAATTTACCAGCAAATTTTGTGATTTAATTTTCCTTTATAGCTGAATAGCAATCATTGTGTATGCATATAAATAACACTAAGGATGGCTGAAAATGCCATAAGGAATCATTATTTTATATTCATCTCATTACATATAATACAAACAAGTGTATACATATGTATATAGTTTAAATGAAGTTATACCAGTTGGGATGATAATGCCTTCCCCAAGATTCATAGACTATCCAATCAAATCCCCAGCAACAGACATGAGAAACCTCCTTTCAAGTTGTCGGTCAGGGGAGTCCAAGAGATTTCTAAAACAATAGCGGCTATTGCTGCTGCTTGGTTGCCTCCCAGAAGTTGAAGATAAGTCCTTACTGCTGAAGAAATCATGTGCTTTGGACACAAAACTTGGAGGACTCAGGATTGATCTCACCAGAAAGCCTCCTTTCTGAGAACTAGCTTTCATAGTACTGGAAGGTGCTGTGCAAGCTGCCAATGGGGGCAGGGGGAGCATTCAATAGTCCCACATAAGCTATTATGCCTATAAATCACAGTAATGATCCATATGGCAAGATATCTCTAAAAGTGCAATTGTGGTACTGATATCTTGGCAGTAACCAAGAGCTGTTTAATTGGACTTAAGGCCCACTGAGCAGGAAGGAAATTAGGCCTGGTAATGTAAACCTAGACAACCACACCTGGCTAGTGAGTTCACAGATCTCAGAGGAGAGCGTACAACTGCCTCTTTCCTAAACCAGTATCATTTCTAACTGCATTCTGAATGCGTATCCTTACATCCACAGATGAGTGTAGCTCTCAGCCCTCGTCAAAGAGGCTTCTTTTCATAGCAGATGGAAAAGCATTTGGAAAAGCACACCCGGTCAAAATGCAGAGAAGAACTACCTGTGAGTGCCCAGCCCCAGTGCATATCAACAACACGCAGTTCCTGCACCTAAGGCTCAGGGAGCAGCAAGGAAACATGGTGGGAACACTGTAAGAAGCAGAGGAACAGGACGTCTGCTGCAAGATTGTGTCTTCTAGACACCACAGGGAAGCTGCGCCCATGGAATCCCAACACTGTGGCTGCCTAAACAGGACCTGAGCGATGACAGTGTGGATGACAGAAATCACACAAGGCCCCAACCCCAGAAGAGGACCAAAGGCAACTCAACAGAGGGAGAATTAGTCTTCCTCAAAGATCCATGAGCTAAATGGTTATTCAATCCCAAGTAGTCAGCCCTTAAAAGTATATAAGCCACACTAGACAGACTCAGCAGGTTGCATTTACATATTTATTAAAGATACATGTAACAATACTAATTAGAGAATAAGAGACCGTGAATCCAAAAGGGAGGGGATGGCAGGATAGGGAAGAGTTGGAGGGAGGAGAGGGGGAAATTATGTAATTATACTTTAGTTAAATTTTTAAAATTAAAATAATAACAATTTGTTAAAGTATTTTAATTTTTATTACTCGTGTGTGTGTGTGTGTGTGTGTGTGTGTGTGTGTGTGTGTACACCAAGGTCAGCATGTGGAGGTCAGAGAACAACTTACAGGAGTCCGTTCTCTCCTTCTACTATGTGGATCCCAAGCACCAAACTCAGACTGTCAGATTTGACAAGTGTCTTTATCTACTGAACATCTCACCAGCCAGGATAAGATCTCGTGTGTGTGTGTGTGTGTGTGTGTGTGTGTGTGTGTGTGTGTGTGTGTATGTCTGTGTGTGTCTGTGTGTGTCTATGTGTCTGTCTATGTATGTGCTTGTGTGTGTGTGTGTCTGTCTGTGTATGTCTGTGTGTGTCTGTGTGTGTCTGTGTGTGTCTATGTGTCTGTCTATGTATGTGCTTGTGTGTGTGTGTGTGTGTGTGTGTGTGTGTGTGTGTGTGTGTGTGGTTTAATGTGACTTGCTTCAACTCCAAATAATCACAGCCACCATCTCAAGAAAACTTAATCACCGAACTTTATCAGGAATTAAGGTGCCGGCTCCATGCCACAGGGGCAAGTGT